TAACATGGCGGCCAATACAAATCATACTACTTTGCTGAAAAATCAAGGTGCCATAAAATGTCTCCCTTAAATGCGTTTCCTTTCAAATTTCGGATGTAAGATAATTTTTATGTGCTCTGTCAATTTTTGGCATCAGCAAGATTCCAACTCATTGTTTATAGGACGTACTGGTCACGTGACCGTTTAGTGTAAATGGCCTATTCGGAAGGCTTCGTTGGCACACCATAGTTTTTTTTTTTAGCTTTAAAAAGAGACTAAATATAAATCTGTACGTTAAATATTAGGGGACTTTAATATGATTTTTCGAGGATTTTAAGTTTCCTTATAAGACCACTAAATTTTACGCAAAATGACTTGTGCGCAACCTCGGACAAAAACGCGAGCTTCAATATCTCGAAAAAAATTGCTATGTCAAGTGGGGATTTCAAATTCTTTATGCAGTAGAACAGTTTACTTCACTGTTTTCAAAAGACAAACTTAAAGCAAGGGGCACACATACACCAAACCCATGATCCGCCTTCCCCGCGCATGTCGTGGGAAAACAGCTCTGCGGTTCCCAGCAAACTGCTCCCACATGTGTTGTGTTGAGCTGGCACTTGATACACTGCTTTGCACTCGCCTCGGCAATAAAGGATTTTTGAGACGCGGGTTTTCCCCGTTCAGTAACCCAGCGGCTTTGCCATGCTGGTGAGCGCCAATAAATGCGAAACAGCCGCCTGTAGCTGTGCGCATGTGTGAGGTACTGGCCTGCCCTTAGGTTGGTGTATTTGTGCCCCTTGCTCGGAGTTTGCACTATTTTTAATTTTCGCTTATGCAATTGAATTGAGTTCAATCTATTTTTCATCATTTACTGTATTTCATGACATTTCTAAACAAATTAAACGGCGCGCTTTTTGGTGAAATCTTTGCTCATTGGCACTTAGCGATAGCTATAACTTGTTTTTGAACAGAATAGCGACTACTTTCACAGCCAAAAATTGCTTTGTAACCCATTCGTTTTGCCATAAATCACGTGTTTCTTCTGTACAGTGCACCTCTTTTACAAAAACAAACAAACAAACAAACAAAAAAACGTGGAAGTTTTTCTCTCTAAGCCAATTAAACATTTCTGTTCGTTCGGCCTGCCCTGATAGGCCTCTAACATTCAATGAGCAAATATTTAGGAATTGTGTTGGTGAAAGACAATTACTTTGCATTGAAAAACATCCGCCGTAACAATATCTAAGCATACAAGGATGTACTCCATTAAAAACAATAAAGACAACACACACGATAAAAGAAAAAACGAATAAACACACAGTTGTACTATTACTACAAAACGAGCCTTATAGTAAACTACAGACAAACATAAACAATACAGTCCTAGCTACTTAATATTAAGCTTCGACAACCACGACGTTAACGATAACAGCAACGTCAAAAAGCAATTGTTTTTATTGCATCTCGCTTGCCGGCATTTCTTTGACGTCGACATTGCACGACTACGACGTGAAACCGTCTAAGGCGACGGTTTATGGAGTGCTTGGTCATACGACGACTCGGTTTTTGAACATGGATAAATTCCTTAGGAATTCAACTCCAAGAAACGTCGCCTGGATTTGAAAAATTGAGGGGGGTCCAACTGAAAACAGGCTAGGTGTGTTCAAAGTTTGCAACAACGACGTTTGATCACGTTTGAATCACTGCCTTGACGTCGTCGTCTTTACTCCCTAATATATTTATTTTGGTCGGTTGAGGTGGGTTAAGAAGAGGTGTTTTATTTTAAGAGGTACCTAAGAAAGAACTAAAAACATAGACTTTACATCATTTCCGTCCGAACAACAACATTTAGTCAATCAAACTTTACTAGCGTTTACAATGCTTATTTTCATGTACAATTTGAAAGCGTCAGATTCTCTCTTTTGGAAATAGTATTGCCATAAAATACTAAATATCATTTATACAGTAACTTTCAGTCTTTCTTCTTCCTCTATTATCATCTTTACATGACGTCACCATGCAGGTCGGACGTGTCTTACCTCGCTCTCTCCTTTTGCTCGCTTTTTTAGCTTCTTTTCGAATTTACACTTTGTCTGAAGTTAAGAAATGCTCGTCCATAGTAAGTGCCACCTTTCATTGGAATGATAAAGCGAGATTCACGTACCACGAGGCTTCAAACATTGATTTCGCCTTTGTCAATTCATGTGGTCCGAGCTGCCATGTTGGTTTCCTCGGTCGTGTTGTTGGGCGCAGGAAGCACTTTTTCTATCGGAAGTTTGCCTACTACTGTAATACATCAGCTTCATTTCAACTGAGAAATATACTAGTGTGTGGAGATGTGCATCGTAACCCCGGTTATGGTTGTGATACATCTGCTTCAAATGGCGAGAGGGGTCGTAATGCGCGTAAGCCGCCCACGTGGAAGTATCCTTGTGCAGCATGTTCGAAACCCGTTCGTTCGAGCCAGAAAGGAATTCTGTGCGATGGTTGCTGTAAATGGCATCACATTAAGTGTGTAAATATGGACCACAGATTATACAGGGAGTTGAGTTCTTCTGATGACACATGGTACTGTACGAATTGCTCTTTTCCCTTCAATTTCACGGATTCGTTCTTCGAGGAACCTGTCACCAGCGAGGAGGCTCCTGTCACTATCACACTGGAGTCCAATCCAACCGACAATGTTACTACCGGCAGGCAAAGCTTGTTTCCTAAAGTTTTGGTTTTGAATGCCAGAAGTATACGGAACAAGGTGTTTGATTTACAGGCATTATTGCTTACCGATTGCGTGGATATCACTGCATTGACCGAGACCTGGCTTGATGATAATTTTCTTGACTCTGAACTCCATCTTAATGATTACAATATCTTCAGGAAGGACAGGTCTAATCGTTGCGGTGGTGGAGTGCTTCTGGCTATCAAGGATCAGATTTCCTGCATACATAGGACAGACCTGGAAACGGAATCTGAGATGTTAGCTCTTGAAATTTATCCAAATCCTACTTGTAGTATTCTTCTCGAGGTGTTTTACAGACCTCCGAATGCAGATGAATCATTCTTGTCTGATTTTAGATATTTCCTGGATAAATATTCAGGCACTGGCTTAACAAACTTAGTAGTTGTAGGAGACTTCAACTTTCCTAACATCGATTAGAACCTTGGATGCCCCACTGGGTCTGACCCTGAAACTGTGGAGTTCTGTAATATTCTGGATGATTTCTTTCTTCTGCAGAACAATCTTCATGTGACTCGTGATACTAGTAATCCTGGCTCCAATGGAAATATCCTTGATCTTGTGCTCACCAGCGATGAGTTTCTTGTCGATGACGTCTTGGTGCATCCAAATGCCTTTGACTCTGATCATCACCCTCTAACATTCAAGTTATATGTTAAGAAAACAAGGCCAAGAAATGCTCAACGTAAAGTTTATTGTTACAGATCAGGGGATTTTAATGGTTTACGAGAGACATTAAGAACCCTACCCTGGGATCTGGTAACATCAGATACTAGTATTGATACAAGTTTAGATAAATTTCAGGATATGTTATTTTGTGCAATTCACCATCACATATCACAAAGAACTCTGAAACGACGTTCTAGGCCCCCTTGGATTGATAATGAAATTATGAAATTAATTAGAAAGAAGAAGAAACTTTGGAAACGTTTGAAGACTAATGGATCTGCTGATTTATTTCTGAAATTAAGGATCTTAGAAGGAAGACCAAGAAGCTTATTAATTTAAGCTATCAACAGTATCTTCAGTCTCTGTCTGGAAAACTCCAGGAAAATCCCAAGCATTTTTGGGCATTCTATTCTGTCAAATCTAAGACAAAACGAATTCCTGAAACTGTTATCTATGGAGACACCAGGTCTAGAGACTTGAATTCGAAAGTGGAGTTATTCAATGTGTTTTCTCACTCAGTCTACTCTAAATCCACTACTGATGTTAAACTGTTGGCCACACATGTTGTTAATCCGAACTTGTTATTTGAAGTTACAACAACAGCTCCAGAGCTTGAAGGAATTCTAAGTAAGATCGACGTAAACAAGGCACCTGGTGTGGACAAGTTACCAGCCCGTATTTTACGTACTTGTGCAAAAGAGCTTTCTATTCCACTTGACCATTTGTTTAATTTATCCCTGAGAACCGGGAAAATGCCCAATTTTTGGAAATCAGCCAATATTACGCCAATTCATAAGGGTGATAGCAGGGAGCTTGTTACCAACTACAGATCTATCTCGTTATTGCCAATCCCGGCCAAGTGCTTAGAACGTATTGTTCATTCAGCTATCTATGATCATGTCTCACCATTTTTAACTGAGTGGCAACATGGTTTCATTAAAGGTAGATCCTGTGAGACTCAACTGATTTTAACCCATCATCAATGGGCTACTGCCCTTGATAAAGGCAGACAAGTTGATGTAGTCTTTTTAGACTTTTCTAAAGCCTTTGACAAAGTAAAATCATGCAGTTTTGTTGCAAAAGTTGTGCAACTTTGGAATCACTGGCTCATTATTCGCCGACAGAGAGTACTGCTGGATGGTATATCCTTTTCCTGGTCCGGTGTCTCATCTGGAGTTCCTCAGGGCTCTTTATTAGGGCCTTTATTTTTTGTTATATTTATTAGTGACCTTCCCGAACTAGCACTTCCTGGCAGTACTATTGCCCTTTATGCTGATGACTGTAAATGTTCTAGAATCATTGACACGGCTGGTGATCTTGAATTGTTTCAACAGGACCTGGATAGTCTGCACCAGTGGAGTGTTCGGAATTTCATGAACTTCAATGTCAAGAAATGCAAAATTATGAAAATTACTAAGAAGATTCAACCACTCACTTCTAGTTTTTTCCTGGAAATCTCTGAACTGGAAGAAGTTAGAGAGTTTAAAGACTTGGGGATTATTACAAATCATCACTTATCATGGAACCCACATATAGATTACATAGCATCCAAGGCTAACAGAATGCTCGGTCTGATTAAGAGAACTTGTAAAGGTCTGGATGACCTTAAGACCTTGCGTACTCTTTACTTCTCATTGGTCCGCTCAAATTTGGAATATTGTTCAGTGGTGTGGTCCCCATATACAAAGAGAAATACTGATAAGCTGCAAAGAGTACAGAGAGGAGCGACTAAACTTATCTTAGAAAGTGATGATCCCTATGACTTTCGTTTGAAGAAGTTAAACCTCATGTCACTGGAGAAGAGAAGATCACTGGCTGACGTGACTTTCTTATATAAAGTACTTAATGGCAACATTGATATTGACATCAATAAAATTATAGATTTCCACTCAGAAGCTGACCGCTTCTCACTTCGGGCTAAGGACTCTTTAACTTTAAAGAAAAAAATATGCCAGAACTAATGTTTTGAAGTATAGTTTTTTCCACAGAATTACTGATCAGTGGAATCAACTCCCGTTAGACATTCGTGTTTCTGATAATGTAAATATTTTTAAGTCTAGAGTTAGGAAATTTTTCAGTGATTTTTAAGTAGCTGTTATATTTCTGTATTTTCCGAAACTATTATTTTTTTGTGTGTTTCTATATATTTTTAGGTGATCTGTTTTTATATGGGGTCTAGAACTCCTTTACAGTTCATCCTTTGGTTTTTAATCCATAGACTGTAATAAATATAAATAAATAAATCCCATGTTATCCACACCTGTATTGAAATGTAAAAAAAAAAACAACGTTCCGGAGAGGTGAGTCATTTTATTATCCGTTTTTACTTCTTAGACGCAGTGATCATGCCAGTGTCACCAAATACGAAAACCTAAAGTGTAGATGTAAAGGTAATTAGTCCGTATAACATTCATGATACCGTTATAAACGCAAAATATTATGGGCAGCCGCAGACCGAAAATGTGTCATCTGAAACTCATTGTTAGCTATTCTGACGGGTGCGGACGTAATTTCCAGGATACGGCCGGGCGTTACGTAACCCAATTTTCCTTAGAAGATTCTAGGGAACATTTCCTCTTTACAGGGATCTTGTTGTTCAAATATCGCAATATCTTGGTATTATGCAAGAAAGACAATCCTCGAAAATCGCAGTTAAATTGTTAGACGAATCTAAAATTTTTTATTAGCCTTTTCTCAAGCTAAAACATATGATAGGGACGGTATTATCCTTCGATACGTTATTTGCAGAAAATCGTCATCGGTCAATTATAAACGCTTTGAACCTTCATCGAGCCCAGGGAGGAGGGACTCCTACATACGAACGCTAAGTGGATCATTAGTCAGTGGTGTTACCTTCTAAGATCTGTAAAACAGTTGATTAGTCCCAACTATCGTCATCAGTGAAATAATGTCCCGGTTTCTTTTTCTTGGCTGGTGAGAAACAATCATAACAGTTACGGTGCATTATTATATACTTTACCTCTTGCGTATGCTACATGAATAACTTGAGAACCTCAGTACAACGTGAAAAACAAGAAGTGGCAATGGAAAGCTGATTCTTTTAAAGGCCAGTAAGCGTTTACAACATTCCTGTTAAGGTAATTCCCTTGAAATTGTTCTACTATCAAACTTTTTTTGAAACTTGGCATAATCAACATTCATGATATGAACATTAAAAAGATGCAATAAAAAGATGGGGTCACCGTGCTTGTTTACGCGTCAGCAAGGTCTTAAACTGGGGTATTTATACTGGTTGTGCGCTAAAAATTCGAATCCCCTTCTTACAGAATTAAGTCTTTGTTACTTGAAACAGACATTTTTTATCTTGAATATAAAGCTTCTTTTCTTCAAATAAGCAGTACTGCTTCATTTAATTCGTTTTTGATTGCCTGGTTGCGGGGATATTGCACTTTTTCGGACAGTTCCGTGGTTAGCTTGAATCCTCGCCTTGACCCAAATACACCAAATACGGAACTATTTCCCCCCCAAAAAATTATGTTCTACTATCAAACCTTTTTTCTTTTTCAAATATGTTCTTTATTAGACTGTTCTTTGCAAATACCTAGGAAAAAAATCAGGGGTCACCGTGCTTGTTTCCTCACAAACTGCTGTGAAAGGTGGACATGGTTTTAAGATCGCAGTCAGGATGGATAATTTACGCGGCGGGGACTGGGCAAGATACAAAATAACGCCCATCGTGTTTGAAGTATGCACTCGAGATCAAGCTTGTTTTCGGTTGTTTTTCTGTGTTTGATATCGCCAACACAGACATTCAAACTTGAAAAGAGTACATTAAATACCAAGGAATGAGGTAAGTCAAGATTTGATGAGATTTTGGAGTTATGAATCTTCATTTTGGACTATTTTGTAGCGCCGGCGTTCTGTTGAATTCCAGTGAGCCAGGGTTCGATTTTGTTGCCTTTGCACACTAATGCTTGACAAAGAAACTTGAAGAAAGGACTATTGATTCCTATTCTTCATATGTTCGCTTGTTTCGTGTCTATACACAGCAACCTGTCAATTCAGTGTTGGAGACTGGTCTCCCTCGCGTGGTTGTGGTGCTATGGTGGGTCTTATTTGTTCCAGAAATGTACGTCTCTCCACTCTCGGAGTTTGAGAAATATATTTACACCAGCGATCCCGGGCCAGAAACTGGCTCGTTAATGCAGTTGGAGAGCCGTAGAGCTGTCCCACAGGCTTCACAGGCCCCATAATCCAAAGCCTCAGCCAGGACATTTAAACAATTCCACAACTCAACGGCCGCGAAGTGAAAAACCACTGCAGAGTTCGGGATCACACACATCTTTTTTCATTTTCTTGTTTTTCGATAGCAGACCAGGAGGCTGTCAGTCTATCTGCGGCATTATTATTGCGAATAAAAGCTGTAGCTCTGCATAAGCGGCCCTCGTTTGTTCTTTTCGCGCTAGTGGGAAGAAACGCCGCCATCTTGGATGTCACAATGTTATGCGCAGTAGAAGGTGCGCAGTGCAAAACAAAGGAATTACTTTGAAACTTGGCATAATCAACATTCATGATATGAACATTGAAAAAATGCAATAAAAAGATGGGGTCACCGTGCTTGTTTACGCGTCAGCAGTCTCTTAAACTGCGGTATTTTTACTGGTTGCGCGTTAAACATTCGAACCCCCTTCTTACAGTATTAAGTCTTTGTTACTTGAAACACACAAAATTTTATCTTGAACATAAAGCTTCTTTTATTCAAATAAGCAGTATTGCTTCATTTAATTCGT